ACGATTGCAAAATTTTACACCATAAGGGCTGACACGGAAGTAGGACCAGACCACAGGGGCAAAGTTTACTAAGTACTGCAAGATGAAAAAGTTTTACAGGTGACGCACTACAGACTGTCGATTTGCTGGACACGAATCCTTCCAACAGGACTTATCGATAACATCAATGAAAAAGGAGTCGAGTTCTATCGTGACCTGTTACAGGAACTCAAGACAAACGGCATTGCTCCAATAGTTAGTCTGAATAGTCAATTTTCATAAGCGTTTTCAGAACGACATGGTGTCTAAATTGCCAAATCATCAAGAGTGCCATCGATATTGAATTCAGGTGACCTTATTTCATGCGGATTATCCGTATGCTCTATACTTGAAAGGTGGCTGGGTTAACAGCGACAGTATACAATGGTACCAGGATTTCTGCCGTCTCTGCTTTGAGCGTTTCGGAGATTTGGTGAGTTTTTCCAGTCGATAGTTGTGGAAACGATGAAGTCGTCAGCATCCATCTCTGCAGAAAACGTCACATCACTTTGCCCATGGCGCATATCATCAAACTTTTCGTCGCAAAGGATGCCGCTGTTATTGGGAGTTATACGGCGAATTATTCCTTAGATGTCCCCCCATAAGCAGAATCAGGCCCACCTTCGCTGCCTTCACCGTCTCCAGAATATGACGTCATCTGTCATCACCGTCGAGCTCAAGGAGGCCTACCATAATCGCTCCATTCTGAAGCTGCTACATAATTTCTTCAATCGGATAACTGGTGAATGGCTTCTTAGGGACACTAGCTCTGACTATGCAAGATGGCTTTTGACCAGCGTTTCAGAGACGTCGTAATCGTGGTGAAGCTATGTTTCCGTGGGAAAATCTTCTGATGTCGTCGGTGTAGAAAGCCCCTATGTAACTTTTTTGATAGAATAGAATGTGCTCTTCAATATGCAATTGAGCTCATTCGGTTTGGTTTTGGCAAAGTGTAATTAATTCTGTTTTGAATGTGAGTGAGAGTGACTCTTTTTTTGCCCCCCCCTGTGTATATTGCGGGACTGCTTTTGGAAAGTTTTTAGTTATAGCATTGATCCGTTTGCTGTCAGATTTTACCAGGAACTTGTACCAATCAGCAATAAGAGAAGGAGAAATAGAAACATAACTGTACAGAAAGTGACTTTGCGACTAATAATTGAATTCCTAGAAGGAAGAGATCACAGCTTCGAGCCAGAGCAGAGCTGTTTTGTTCATGCCGAGTAAGGCGACCTTGAGAAGGATTGTGATGAAAGGGAGCTCACTAGAAATAAGGGTAGAGGTCCGTGATGCAAGGATGAAGAAAAACTATGGAAACGGTCCAGAACTTGAAAAACTGCACCCCTTTCTTATTGTTTATTTGCGCATTGATGCGACTCTCATCTTTGTGCCCTCTTCAACGCTCACGCTTTCTCGCTCTCTCTGTCTCTCTTCTCTGTCTCTCTCTCAGGGAAATCGCTAGAGACCTGCGGCGGGTGGTTAAATGGTCGGTGGGCGTTCCGGGCCAATGTGGCCGCGGGTAATGCGATGCTAGATAGAGGGGGCATATCGATGCGAATTGCGTGTTGGTCCACACTCTCTGGGGTCCGGCTTGTTTCTCCACTAGAAGAGTTCCCTCATCTTCGACCTTTGCTCTTATCGCGAAATCCTCTTTAACGGGTTGTTTCGAAGATGTTGCTGCTCTTCCAGGAGTTTTTCTCTAAACGAAGACGCTCGCAATGGACGGTTCGCCAAAGCCTGGTCAAAGCCAAGGCCCTCCGCTCTTGTGGAAGCGACCCAGTCCGACAAAGCAGCTTAGGTGCCATTCAGCCAATTTCCAGAATTTCTGTACTGTTTAGGCAAAACCTAGTAGTGGCTTGTCTAAACCCTTCGGGGTTATGCCTGTCTCACCTCGACCAAATTGCTGGTGGAGAAAAGTGTGGGCTCTTGGCAAATCACAACAGAAAGTGTCAACGGATTGGCAAGGGAGAAACGGGAGCTCTAACGTCAGAACCGGAATGTCACAAAATGTCTCCTGCGAGCTAACATAGGTTGCTATTCATCACATCAATGGCGCCGCATAAAATTATTATTATTCTATAGAGATGTGTGGAGAGTAAGGATTGCATGGAAAAGCCTAAAAAGTGTTTCTCAAAACTTCCCACTCGACTATTCTTGTAGATGTTTTGTCCTATGCAGTTGTATGATGATCCTAATTGACCTCGATAGACGCGGTTTTTCAAGTGCAGTATTTCGAACATAGTTAGTGAGCGCGAACTATGTTCACCTTTCTTTTTGGCAATTGCAAAAATATTTTCAAAAGATCTAGAATTGGTGGTTCGTTATGATTGTGTATGCTTTCAGGTCAAGTACTGGATCACCTTCAATGAAATATCTGCGCATGCATGGTGGGGAGTAACAAAAATCGAGGGCAACTGCACCATTCACCTGACACCATCGAATATTCAGTACCGAAAAGAAGAATTCCTTACATCGCCACTCACAATATGCTTCTTGCACATGCCAAAGTCTACAGGATGTATTCCCGAGAGTTCAGGGAAACTCAACAAGGTATCTCAGTTGAAGTATTTTCTAGTGTTTTTTTTTCGACAGCGCAAGGTAAGGGCAACGCTGCGCTCCAAGGCATAATATGATACATCTTTATGATTGGTTACTTGTGTATTCAATGTTGACACGTATGAGCTATCAGAGCTTTTATACTAAATCGTTTTCGAAGGTCAAAAATTTTCAAAGTTAAGATTTATTAACGCCCTAATTCGAAATGCGTATTGTCTTTCCAAGCGGCGCCGTCATTGTGATAAGAGGAGAGCAAGGCGGCTCAAGCATTCCTGAAGGCGTCGAAAGGGTTGAGGTTGAATTTTGGAGCGCAACCACAGATGGTAGTGTTAAACAATTTACCTTGGTGGTAAGATAAAGTAGCTCGCGAGTGTTACTGAAGTGAAGTGCCGTTGTTGCGACTCAGAAACGAGCGACTACGGCGCCAGGTCTTCACAAAGTCAGCTAATGACGGCTGATGTGAGCTAAAAGACGACATATCACGCGCAAACCCTATGACACGTAAATGGCGACGTAGCGACTAATTCAAATGCGCGCAGGTGCAGCTATGGAGCAAATAAGCTCAGACAACTCGTCCGAACACGTCACCCCTCACTCAAGAGGGGAGTGTGGCTCATTCCGAGAGGGCAGAGAAAGAGTACTCGCTGGAGGGCTCTTAGGAGGTTGACTTTGCTTCTTTTCTCATTTTCAGTCAACCCGGCGTCCACAATTTCATTACTAACCGCTCTCACCCCATCAATTTGATCTAGAGTTGTTGATTCGAAACACAACCCAGACAGAAGTCGTATGAACGATTCCATCGGTCTGTAGGATACAACTCGAAGGCAGTCTCAGATGTGGCACTTCCGTGCATGGAAATCACCCGATAAGGACTCAAGGCTTGCAAAATCGCCTGCAACCAGCTGCGCTGTTCGCCGTGCACAGCAATTTGTTCTCTGACGCCCTTTGTCTCACATAGTCCTCTCCGCGCTCATTCTCTCACGTCTAACACAGCCGCATTAGGAAGGTGAGCAAGCCCTCAACCTGAGCGTTTTCGACGGATTCTTTTCCTTTTTTCTTCACTGCCGGCCCACTTCGCACCGATACATTCACATTCGTGTGCAAGAGCCACACCAATTTGGTCCTGGGTGCATGCCTTTGACGGGAATCAAATTAGCGTTGCTAAACTAAACTTGAATTCAGCGGAATAGGGGAAGAGATGGGATGAATACTTGACTGGGTTCTGCCGTGAACTTACAATGAAAGGCTCCCAGGTCGCCATGGCCATTCAAGAAGAGATGTATACACCTAGATGTGCCTTTGAACGCTGATCTCAAATCTACCTTCCAAATCTGCTAAACGATTCTCTGAACGGAGTTATGAAGCAAAAAAGCGCAACGGTAGTGGTCGGGACTCACGTCAAGATGTGTGTAGTAGGATCACCCTTTCCGTGTATTCTGTCTTGCTTCTCTGATAAAAACAGCTGAAACAGCTTGCGAATGTCTTATTGGCCGTATTCCTAAGAAAAAAGCAAGACAGTAAATACGTAAAGGGGCCAATCGATCCTACGACGTTTTGACTGTGAGTCCCGACCACTACCGTTGCGCTGTTTTGCTTCATAACTCCGTTCAGAGAATCGTTTAGCAGATTTGGAAGGTAGATTTGAGATCAGCGTTTGAAGGCACATCTAAGCGTATACATCTCTTCTGAATGGCCATGGCGACCTGGGAGTCCTTTCTTGTTAGAATTTTCCGTTGTGAAAAATTTTACAATTTTCCGGAAACATTCAAGGAAGTTCGTGGAGTCGAAGGAAAGCATAGAGCAATTCTTGAGAAGTCATAAATCCTTTCCTGCTATTACATTATTGTGCACATCCCTTCGTCGACAGAGTATTTGGGAAGACGAAATGTAGTCTAAGGTAAACCGAAAGTAAGACTTGTTACAAGGGAAGGTGGGTTGTGGGTGAGACGCCTGCTTGATTCAAGAGAAAGTACATAGAGTCGCAGGGAGCAGTGCTGTCCAAGCAGTGTTTCCTCTACCTATTACTCATACTGCTCAAGAGCCACAGTTCGGTAGAAATTCCAGAATAGTTGGAAAATAGACTAACTCGGAATTCTATCGTTCCAGTGGAATAATCCTCATTACACAAACCTTACCTGATGACAAACAAGTAATTAGTAAAAATTTGAGTGCAGCATGAACTGCGAAGGATCACTAGTCACCGACGAACGTCCACTTATCAACTGCTCGATTTTTTTCAAA